ATCATTATCATTATCATTAGCCCTTTAGTTGACTTCGGGTTTCACAGAGAGGAAAAAATGTCAAAGTGAAAAAGGTCAAGAGTAGGGGCGGGGGAGGCAAAAGAGTATTTCAAATTCGGAGGTAAGAAAGGTAGAAAAAAGATGAGGTGAGTACTATAAAGGTAGTCAAGCATGAGATACAGTAGGGTAGTGGTCGTTTGAAGTCAGAACTCAACAACCGATTTATAGACTGGATGTAACTGTGTTGGTCAGGTTTTAGCAGGTTCATTATAAGCGCTGCTCTGACATTTATCAAATACTGCAAAGACTCCGACACCTCCGACCTTATGCTCTCGTTGAGTGCATTTTCAATCCATTTTTTCTTCAGTCGACGACAAGCATCTATAGCAAACCGTGCCGACTCATGATATGGAGCAATAGCTTGAATCTCGCGAACATATTTGAGATAAAACATCTGGAAAGCCTTCTTGGCGTGGAGGGTAGACGAAGCAGACAGTATAGTCCTCTGACCATTTTCTAGTTTCGCCACAAATTGATCATAAGCACATAAGGTTCTTTCAGGTAACCAATGTGGCCAATGCAACTGTAAGAAAAGATGCACCGATTGGCGAGAAGTTTGGAAGCAAAATTTAAAATTTGTTCGACGAGGCGGTGGTGGTGACAATGGACATTTGGGCATGCAATTTACATGATAGCGTGTGCTGTGATTTCGCCGATCACGCGTAATCTGACCAATGCAAGAGTTGATAGGCTTTCCTCACCTTATACTCTAATCAATGCAAATCATGAAATCTACTCTGCCACCGGTTATCGACTGTGTGATCTCTCACACTGCATAAAGAAATGGTGAATAAAAGCGTAGGTCCTTTCTAGTATAATGGAGAAGTAATGTTGGCCTAAACTCCGTCAATTCCCAAACAAGAGTGGCTTTATTGATATATCATGGATTATCCATAACAACTTAATTTTCTGCATTCTTCATGCAATTCCCCATTCTTTAATCTGTGCAC